ACTGTCAGCAGGTCTCGGCAAGGTGGCAGCTGTCCTACATGCCCCGGCACCACGAAATGTCAGGGAACTTCAAAGTTTTTTAGGTTTAATCAACTTCTTCCTTCCTAACCTGTTTGGACGTCTTCGTCCACTGCACTTGCTTCTCACTGACGGGAAGAAGTAGGAGTGGGGAAAAGACCAAGAAGGAGCTTTCACGTCAAGCAAGCACCTCTTGACCTCAGCTCCGGTTCTCGCTCATTTCAACCCAGAGAAGCCTGTGTGTCTCAGTTCCAATGCCTCACCGTACGGGATTGGCGCCGTCTTGGCACACCGGGAAGCCGATGGTCAAGAACGACCCATCGCCTTCGCATCCAGAAGCTTGTCCCGAGCCGAACAAAACTACAGCCAGCTCGACAAAGAGGCATTAGCTTTGGTGTACGGTGTTGAGCAGTTCCACCAGTACCTGTGGGGAAACCCGTTCCAAGCCTTCACAGACCACAAGCCTCTACTTGGATTGCTGAGTCCTGACAAGCCGATTCCAGTCCACGCTTCGCCTCGACTCATTAGGTGGGCTCTCAAGCTTTTTGCTTACATGTACCAGCTTCTCTACAAACCGGGGAAAGACTTGGGACACGTGGACGCACTCAGTAGACTGCCAGTGCCGACAAACAGTGTTTCAGAACCTGTGCCGGCTGAAATCTTTATGCTCGAAGAGGCTTACCCCAGTCTTCTGTCACCTGCTGTAGTGGCTCAAGCAACGAAGAATGACCCGTTTCTGGGTAACGTGATGCTCGCTGTCCTGAGAGGAGAGGGCATTACATTGGGACCAGAAGGGAACCCATTCAGTGCAAGGAGTACTGAGCTAGGCCTTCATGACGGATGTTTGCTCTGGGGAACACGAGTAGTAGTCCCACAAGTGTTGCAAGATCGAGTCCTGAAGCTTCTTCATGCAGGCCATCCCGGCATTGAGAAAAGCAAACTGGTCGCCAGAAGCCACGTCTGGTGGCCGGGTATTGACGATGATATTGCCAAAAACGTGAAGAGCTGCACAGTTTGCCAAGCTCATCAACGGGCTCCACAGCCGGTTCAACAGACACCCTGGCCTTTTCCACAAAAGCCCTGGTCAAGGCTTCACATTGACTTTGGAGGCCCATTCATGGGGCGAACCTTCCTAGTCATTGTGGATGCATTCTCAAAGTGGGTAGAAGTTTTCCCCGTGCCATCCACCTCGGCAGAAGCTACTATCACAGCTTTGCGAGTAGCATTTGCCTAGCATGGACTGCCAGATCTGATAGTATCAGATAATGGTCCTGCCTTCGCAAGTGAACAATACTTGGAATTCTTGACACGCAACGGTATACGCCGCATGCTTGTACCACCCTATCATCCAGCTTCAAATGGTGCAGCGGAGCGTGTTGTTCAAACTGTCAAGAACGAACTTAAGAAGAGTGCATCTGGGTGTTTCCAGACTCAGATATCTAGACTTCTGTTCCACTACAGGACCACTCCGCATGAGGTCACCGGCAGAGCGCCGTGCGAGCTACTGGCCGGGAGACGTTTTAAAACACCGTTAGATGTCCTCCGGCCAAGCCTCCAGTCGTCAGTACTACTCAAACAGCTAAAGCAGAAGCTGTACACGGATAAAGGGTGCCGGCAAGATCCGTCATGTGGCACTGAAGACGAAGTCTTCGCAAGGAATTTCCGTCAAGGTGCGACATGCCCTAGTAGCACCATATGTTGCCATAACGTTACTGGAATGTCACAAATGTAATGTAACGTTGGGGCACATTTGGGTATGTTACAGCAACGTTAGAAAACTAACGTAACAGGTATGTTCACCTGTAACATTGTTTCACTGTCACTGAACGTCGTGCAACGTGTCATTACATAGGCAAACGTTCCAGGAATGTTAGAGAAGCAACATTGGAGTAACGTTTAGAAATAACCTCTTGGTAACATTTCCACCCTGACATAAGGGCAATGTTTTGCAGCGACGTTGGCCTTATGTGACGAACTGTGACACATCACCACATCACACAAAGACTGGTGAAGGATACACGAAGACACTAAACTTTGAATAGTTCAATAGATTTTCTTGGTCAAACATTTTTATTTTTATACAAACAGAAAGACCACCCTAATGCTTGTGAATGGCGTATTTGAAACAAGTGTTCAAAATGTACTCTAAACAAATTGCAGAAAACTAAAAAAAAATCTGTCCAAAAGGTTTATAATAAAATTGAATTCATTTGTGTGTGTGGCATTTGCTTGCACAATTTACAATCAAGTTTAATATAATGGGCTAAGTGGTAATGCAAGGCTGGCAAACTTATAATGAACATGGCTTACATTTCGTTGCCATAGGATTGTTCAGTGAGCCTCAACTCGAGGATGAAGGTGAACAAAATGGTTTGTTGTAGCCACACTAAAGCAGATGCAAACACACTAAGGCACCCTACTGTGGTTTTTGTCATACTATGAACAAAACACACACCAACAGAGGCCTTGTCGAGAAGTCTGTTGAGACTTGCCTGTTTGAGCTGGCTTCCTTCCTGCCCCTTAACCTGTCTCGCCCTTACAAAAATTATCAATGAGTTTCTGTTGAGTTTGCGCATTCTATAAGAACACATTAGGAATTCAATTGAAACTCATTTATCATTTTTGTAAGGGCGAGTTGGCGAGTCTGCTCAATATTCACAAGCTAACATGCACCCTTATCATTGCTTCTTAGGTTAGGATCATTCGGATGCCCAGCGTCTGGAACGCATGCTAAAGATAACAAGAGAGTGAAGTCATGAGGCGTTATTGTGTTATCGAAGGCGGAAAACTCATGCTAGTGACGTGACGACCCAAAGACCTCCCAAACATGTATAGGATGGCACGCGAGTGATAGCCTGTAAATTAAACTGGAACCTGAGCTAGCTGAAATTATCACCAAAGGTGTACTTTAGTGGTGTGCTCTATTACGTTAACTTTTGAAGCGTAGCTCTGTTTCTGTAAAAAAATATTAACATGATTACCCTACTACCAAGTCGCAGAGAGTTCTTGAGGTCGACTGAATGCTCTATCCGACCCGAGCTTCCTGCGAAAATATTTCTACTATTTAAAATAGAAGCAAGGAATAATTTCGCAATGGATTTGACTCAAATCGAGCGATTGGGTGGTTCTTACTCTCGCCGTCTTGGTTGTCTGCGTCAGTGCTTGCCATAGAGATTAAGCGAAATCTTGGAGCATGCAGTATAAAATACACCCTGGTTGAAAATTTGAAATAGTTACATGCGGAAGCTCATTTTTCAGTCCAATTTATAGGCCACCGCTCTGTTTCTTCGGAAAACTAAAAAAGTGGCGGCTCATTGCAACATACTGCAAGTGTGATGACCGGTGGTAGCCATCGTCTCATAGACAGAGGAGGGGAAAAGGGAGACGGTCCAGAGGGAAGGTGAGCGAGGAGATGGGAAGAAAGAGGTCAAGTATGAAGGTCGAAGGCCAAAAGCACATGCTCACACAAGGAAGAGAAGAGGCGGAAGGGAGAGGGGACTGAGGATGAAATGGCTGAGGGAGCATGAAGGGAGAGAAAGATGAAGAGAAGTTTGGCAGGGAGGAGCGAGATCGGACGGAGTAGAGAGGCAAGAGGGGAGGAAGAGCGCACAGAGGGAAGATGAGACCAATGGGGGAGAGGAAGGAGTGGAGGGGAATGAGGAGATGGGGAAGGGGTGGGGCCAGATAAAAGAGCGAGCAAGAAGGGGTGGTCCAGTAGCTTGTGGTACAAAGTCGAAGGTCATAGGCCACGGTTGCACGGACGCAAGATCATACTTCCCCGACCACTTAAAATGAAGAGCTATATCCAGCGACCACCATAAAAGCAAAGATCAAAGGCCATGAACACAGAATCACTCAAGCGAGAGAGAAGGGGGAAGAGGGGAGGAAAGGTGAGGTGGATGGATAGCGGGAAAAAAGAGAAAGATGGACGGGAGGGTGGAGGAAGAGGGGAGGGAGGGAAGAGGAGACCGAGGAGATAGATAGAAGGGGAGATGGCGAGGAGCAGCACCCAAGGGTCCAGAGTCGAAATCAAAGGTCAGAAGCTACGAACATATAATTCTATGGAGGTAGGGGAGGGGGAGCGAGGGGGAGCGAGAAAGTGAGGGGGGAAAGAAAAGGAAAGGCAACATAGGAGAGATGGTACGAGATGAAAGAAAAGTGGAGTGAGGATAAGGCCAGGTAGGAAGGAGATCCAGCGTCAAGGGCCACGGATACACGGACGCACTCCGCATTCCACTCAAAATCAAGGGCCGGAAGGGCCATGAACGGTTACTGCCGTAAAAGACGAAAAGAAGTGAGGCGCGTGGACGAGTGAGTGAGTGATGATAGCGCATACTACTGTTGCTGAACGGGATTTCCAGTGCACGGGTGGCTGTCCGTCACTCGTGTGCTTCTGCTTCGCTAGCAATTAAAATAAAACGATTAAAATCGCTGCGTCACTCGTGTGCTTCTGCTTCGCTCGCAATAAACATTAAACGAGTATAATCTCGCACATATTTAGTCCTTGTTCACTTCTCGCCAAAGAGCAGTCGACAGAAGTGGTCAGAACAAAACCAAGCTCGCTCTGCGTGGACCACTTTTTGCCTACATTTGTGGACACATCACAATGGCACAGCACAGTCGCATAGCTACGGAACTACCGTTTCGACGTTAATAGTTCACTATCATTGCCGATATTATGGTCCAGATCACGCACCGATCATTCCAAGCTCACCACCGTCCGCCATGATTGCATACGAGTACGGCATCACGGTTATGGCTGTACGGCTTACACCAATCTCCAGTTTCTCCAATCAATCTCATGTTTTGTAACCCTTAAAAAAAACGTATATTAGTACTGTCAGATAAATTTTTAGAGTTTATTCATACTTGAACTTTATAGTCGTTTACTCGTTTACGCACACTGTTGACAAGCCACGACGCCAAGATATGGAAGTAGCTCAAGCCAAGCAAGGTCGAAGCCAAGTCGACCACGTGAGCGCATCGACCGCACGTCAACGGACTCTCAAGCGAGGCTTGTTTCTGTTTCATCATACCGCTCTGCCGCTCTCGGCGTGGAGGAAACATAAACAAAGGTATGTTGCATTTTTGTTGTTGTTGCTAACTGTGCTGAACAATGGAGCGGGCGAAGCGTTCGCTATCGGAGCTGTCCGATCGCCAAAAAAGACGTAGGGTAGCCGAAAGTGTTCGCAAGGAACTTGAAAGTTGCGATACGAGCAGTGAGGAGTCGGTGGACACGGAGGAAGCATTCCCCCTGCCGACTGGACAACAGCCAGTGGCAGCACAGGCAAGTTTTTCCGGAGAGTGTGAGTACGAACGAGCTTCCGAGTGCGAATCTGAGACGAGTGACGACCTCTTGCTGTACGACCCGTTGGACGACTCTGAATGCGAATCTTTCGTGAATGAAGATGAGGTGGAAGAGCCATTGTACGAAGTGAATTTGGAGAAGCTCCCGAGTGAAGGCAGAAGTGATGAAGTGGCGCCCAGCCTAGGTACGAAGTTGGCTCACTGGGCTATCAACACTAACACGCCAGCATCGCACCTGACGCAATTGTTGAAACTTTTGCATCCTCACCACAAGGACCTTCCCATTGATGCAAGGACATTGCTAAAGACATTGCGCACCACTGAGGTTGCACAAATGGGAAGTGGTTTATACCACTACTTTGGAGTAGCTGCAGGGCTTATGGCAGAGGCCTCAGGCGGATTGCTCCCCAGCGGGTGTTCCACGCTGTCGCTCTCTATAAACGTAGATGGACTTCCAATCTCACGAAGTTCTCGTAAGCAGTTCTGGCCAGTGCTTGTTCTGGTGAAAGAAAGCCGCGGTCAGAACCCTTTCGTGGCGGCATTGTATGAAGGTGATGGGAAACCTGAAAACGTGGAACTCTTCATGAAGGATTTTGTTGAGGAACTGTCAGTGTCGTTGACCCAGGGCATCCATCTGAATAGCAAATTGTATACAGTAAAACTACATTCATTTATCTGTGATGCTCCAGCCAGGGCCTACCTCAAGTGCATCAAAGGGCACACTGCATACTATGGTTGTGAAAAGTGCAGTCAGAAGGGAAAACATGATGGAAAGAAAGTTACCTTTCCGGATATTGATGCTCCATTACGCACAGATGAAGACTTCACCAACCAAGTGAATGCAGACCATCATCATGCTGTTCCACCACTTTCAGCACTAGGTGTAGGCCTTGTGAGTTGCTTTCCTCTGGACTACATGCACTTGGTGTGCTTGGGCGTCATGAGAAGATTGATTGTGCAATACTGGACCTCACCCACACCTTCAGCATCGAAGTTGCCCATAAGGTCCCAACTTGAAATATCCGACAAGTTGATAAGCTTTCAGTCAAGCACACCTTGCGAGTTTAACCGCAAGCCACGTTCCCTCAAAGAACGAGACCACTGGAAGGCAGTAGAGTTCCGGAGCTTTTTGCTGTACTTTGGGCCAGTTCTTCTTCGAAGTAATTTGGACAAACACTTCTATGCCCACTTCCTGAAGCTGAGCTGTGCTATGACGATTCTAGCCAGCCCAAAGTTTTTTTTGACGCACTGCGATGTGGCAGAGTCCCTCTTGAGAGAGTTTGTTCGCGATGCCGGTTCCCTTTATGGGGATGGGGTGTATGTTTATAATGTGCACTCCCTGATCCACCTGACACAGGATGTTCGGCGGTTCGGTCCTGTGGACTTGTTCTCTGCCTTCCCTTTCGAGAACTTTCTTGGGAAACTAAAGAAGATGGTCAGAGGTCGTGCATTGGCTTTGCAGCAAGTCATTAGAAAATACTCGGAACTCAACGCTGCAACCAAAACAACCCGTGAACAACAGAAGTGTGGCATGCAAGGGCCACACCGAGATGGACCTGAGCCGCCAAACTTCGAGGGAACTCAGTACAGTGAGCTACTCCTAGATGGCACTCATCTTTCTCTCAAGCCTTCAGACAACTGTGTGCAGCTGAAAGATGGTAACATCATTCTTGTTAGGAACTTCATCGGATCGGGTAAAGAGCAAAGCATCTGCGGGCAGTTCTTCCAATGTCTGAACAACCTGTATACAACTAATGTGCCTTCATCAGAACTAGGAATTTTTAAGGCCACCAGTCTTTCCAGGCAGTACTCATTGTGGAGTGTGAAGGACATCAAGTGCAAGTGCGTCTGTTTGCAGTATCAACAGTGCTATGCTGTTTTTCCACTAGTTCACCTGCAAGTGTGATGATTCATATTTGCATAATCTAAGCTGGTCTTGATTGCTTTGGAAATAACATTTTCACATATTACTAAGGAGCTTTTAAAATAATAAAGCCTTCATTTGTTTGTTTCAGGAAATGTACTACGTCGTAAATTTTCTTGGGAAGAATGATATTTCGGCAGTTCCTGCCTGTTGGGTGCGGAATGACCGTTGTGCATGGCCACCCTACAGAGGCAAACAAATGACAAAAGCCATCAAGGACTGTGAGCAACCTTGTCCTGACTGGGCCACGTTTCCATGTCGAATAATGGGGTCAAGTTGTAAGTACAGCGACGGTGAAACAAAACCACTGCTTTGCAGTTGTACCGTTAGTTACTGCCGTTGAGTAGGACTATAATATTGCAAGAAATAATTTTTTATTTTCAGGGTTATGTCAGCTCCCAAAGTTTGAGCACAAAACTTTTGAGTGGTCTTGGAGAAGATTGAGTGTATACACTATGCGGAGGGCAAGTTCGTCTGCTTCTTGCGCAGGGGGTAGCGGTGACGTCAGAACACCGAGCCCTGATTGGCTGATCACGACCCCCTATCTGAGCGTCGTCTGCTCCTTTGCAACGTCGTCTGCGTCTGTCTTACCTTTCCTGCGACTTTCGGAAGTGCAGAGGCTAGATTCACGAAACGATTATACGCCAAAAATGTGCGTAAGACAAAACTTAAGAACAAATTCGTATTCACGAAACGAAATTTTCGTAAGTTTTGCGCAGGTTACGACGAAATTCTACGGTAGCTCCGAAGCTGTCTTACGCACTTCTTACGATCAAATCAGCATGGCCGACAGCGTCGCAGTCGCGACGACCCACGGACGTTTATTTTCTACGTGCGCTTCTCACGCGTCCCGACTTCAAGCAGCAAGAAAAAAGTAAAAAGTACTTGAAACAGACCACGACGAACAAGAACGCTGGATCCTTAAACACCCGGGAAAAGCTCCAACGTCCACGATTCCAGCGAATGCGACCAAGCGAGCTTTGCAGTTAGGCCTAGCAGGCACTCCGCGACTCGGCGACCGTCTGTCCACGACCGGCTGACGTGCTGAATGGAATATGCCCGCGCGACCCTTGTGAACCCTTCCCGTATTATACTTTCATTGCTGACCACAATTTTAGATTGAGAGGTCAATTTCTTCCTCTTGTTATCTCCTTGTTTCCCGAGGCAACGGTGACTCTCGCCGGCGAAAAAGCGGTGAATCTCCGACAGACACAGGAAAGGTAAAGCAGCCATCGCTTTGACTAGCAGACGTAAAGCAGACGACGTTAACTGCGCCAATCCGCCGACGCCGTTAAAGAGTGAGAAGTCTCGCCGCACACGAAAGGAGGGAAAAAGTATTTGGGAGGGAACTTGCGGACACTAACACGCTCACTCTCGGTTCTTAGCAAACAAACCTCGGCGCCTCGGAACACCTCGCCAATGAGTCCTTTGACTTCCCTTCTTGATGCGCGTCTGCTAGTTGTTAGATAAAAACAACGTACCGCTCGAGTTATTTCGTCTGCCCTCTTTGAAAGGCGAAGTCGAGCTCGCTCGTAAAGACCTGCACTTGCGAAAGTCGCAGGGAAGGTAAGACAGACGCAGACGCTGTTGCGAGCAGACGACGCTGAGATAGGGGGTCGCGATCAGCCAATCAGGGCTCGGCGTTCTGACGTCACCGCTACTTTCTTTCTCATGTGCAGAAGACGAAAATGAGCCCACTTGCGAGGCGTATATATATGTATATATCTATGTATATATATATGTGTATATATATATATATATATACGTGTATATATATATGTATATATATATATATGCACGCACGCGCTCGCACACGTGCCAGCGCGCACGCACGCACGTACGCGCGCGCGCACACACACACACACACACACACACACACACACACACACACACACACACACACACACACACACACACACACACACACACACACACACACACACACACACACACAGGATGTCCCAGCTATCTATAAACACCCGATTAAGTTGTTTTCAGCATGGCACACCTTGCGTGCTTCCTTCCTCCAGCCTTTAAAAGACGCCCATGAAATGCAAAAAAAGTGCTGTGTGCAACATGCTTCCCCAATCACAGCGCACGGGCCATCTGCAGGTGAGACAAAAGCAGATCGCAGATCTCACTGGATGTTGTGGGTGGCAGGCTGCTCACCACATGGTGGTATTTTGTGATGTCCTTGGTAATGCATCGTGTGGCAAACTGTACAGCATTCTTTGAGGAATGATGGAAAGAAGCAGGCAAGGCATACCATACTGCAAACACCTCCAACAGGTGTTTCTCAAGCCTCTCTACAACTTTCCACTTGGCTTCTCCGCCCTTAAAGGGTAGCTGCAAAGAATAAAAAAGTGTCTTTTTAAACAGCCTAATTGGGACAAGCATGTCACAAAACAAATCTTCTGCACGAAGCTAATTTTTTCCTAGCAATATTTATGCCATAGGACGTAATTTAGTCGGAGTCACAACTTCTCCACGTTTAAAACTCCCCCTCTTTCGACGCGCGCGAAGTGGCGGTTATACGTCGCTCCGTGACGTAGTGGCTGCCATACGTCAAGGTGGGACTTAAAAGGATGCTGATGCGAAATTGGGTTTTCACAAAATAAGGCTGCAGAAACGTCTGATGGGACGTTACAATCTCCAGTACATCACTCCTGCAGCAGTATCTCAAAACCAATGGCTGTATTTTTGAAGAAAAAAAAATGAGACATGTAACGTCGCATTCTTCTCTCAACAGTTCAGGAGGATAGGAAGTAGCCTCGCTTTCTCACCTCCTTTTGTTGCCTCCTCACCTTGGAATGCAGCCAGTGTGTCTCGCGAGAAGCGAAGGGAAAAGTAGGACTACTACGTTACAAGCTTTATTTGATTGCATTTCCGGAAATATGGCTATATGTTCAAGGTAGTGCTGCATGAGTTGTGATTCGTGGCGTCCTGCCTAGTCCTCCTGCCTTGTTTTGTGAAATCCAAATTTTGGTTCAGCATCCTTGTACAGAACTCCTCTTGAACTCATTTCTGAAATCAAACACTGTAAAAGCAAATAATTACACATAAATCTCCGAAAGCACTCAGTGCTGTTCCATGATTTTTAAAAGTTAGTTGTTTAGTATGACTAATGACCAGTAGCTAATTAGTCAATTTAATGTCATGTATTCACCTATGGAATGTTTTCAGAGCTCAGTGAAGGTGCTATTAATGTAGTGGTCCCCCAGCCCTCCTTCTTTTAAATTTGTTTGCACTGTGCTTGCGGTTATGCATGTAAAAAATAAACATTTTGCAGATAGAAAATACTGCTGCAAACCTCATTTAGTGGGCTAGCGCCACATTGGAATTCATGGTGCTTTCTACTTCCGGAATCAGTTATAACCTCATATGCGGACTACACCCTTTGAGTTATATCCCTTGTTCATTCAATCAGCCTTGTTTGTTTGTACTGTAGACAACAGTTAAAGGAAAGACAGTTTAGCCATGATGTCAGGGTTACAAGTATTCAGGTTTTGCATAAATGTCGAAGGAGTTTAGCTTTCAGTTAGTAATGTGGTTGGGTTTCTTGTTTCAGCAACATATGAAGATGCAAAACGTAAAGAAAAAAAGGCGGAGGAGATGTCGGATCTAGCAACTGAAGATGAAAGTTTGGCGAAAAGAAGAAGGAAGCGACCGCAGCACTTTCTTTCATCATCAGATGATGAAGACACCAATTGGCAAGCTATAGAGAGTGTAAATTCTGCAGCGCCATGCTCGGGATTTGTCAGCCCTCCTGCTCCCCCAAGGATGCCCCTAGCGCAAGTTCAACTTAACACTCGTCCAACGCCCCTACCCCAAGAATATGCTCGAGAGCCCAGGCGAAAACACTCGTGTAAGATAGCCAATTGCTCATATCCTTTTTCATCAGCTGGACTTGTAGTTAATGTACTGGATATACTTCTGTCTTTGTGCTATATAGGAATTTAAACATTTGTCACATCACATAAGCCATTGATAAGCATAGCTGTGAAGCAGGGCTACACAGCAAGTCACATGATAGCATATGCACGAATATCTACAGCAGATTGTGCTTGTAAATTTTTTCTGCATGGGAGCCACATTTATGCATAATGCTTGTTTTTATTTCTTTAGTTTTGTTGTTGTTTTTTTCTTTTTAAGTGTGTGGAATAAGATGGGTCATTTACATTGCATGGTCCATCCAAGCAGGTGCAAAATAATAAGCCTGATAATCCAAAAATTATGACGGGTAGATCATCAATATCATGTTGTGCAGTTAATGAAGCACTTTTTAAAATTGTCAGCATTCCAGGAACAGGTGCTCAGCCAGCTAAAAAATATGGCGGCACAGCTTGAGAGCCATGGGAAGATCCTGAAGCAGATGGAGATGCGTCAGCAGGGGGCAAGGACGGACACTCCTAACAAGCTCTCCGTCAGACCTGAGATCTACCAGCTTTTCCCACTGGCCACGCATGAGGATCTACTTTGCTTGGAGGACCATCTTAAAGACGGAGAAAATAAGGAGGCCCTGGTATGCTCACTGCCCTATATGCTCACTAGAGCGCTGCACAAGCCGTTTCTTTCAGCCCTGGCCTGGTCACTACCCAAGTAAACATAGGAGACTGAGAGTATGGGGTATCATTTATCGGGGTTATTGGAATGGTCTGTCAGAACCCCCTAGTGATGGGGTGCGTTACTCATCTACACAGCGTTACCAGCCCAATTTCCTTCGTGCTTTCTAAGTGAGAATCTTTCGCGCTGTGCGAGAAGCTCAGTCACCTTTCGTTCGAACAGAACGCGAGGCAGGAGCAAGGAGGCGTGTGCTTGAGCCTCGCTTGCCCCTTATTTATGCCATGTTGGATGGATGACGAAGAACCATGAGGAAAGGGCTAGGTGATGGCCCTATAAATCCTATGCATTTAAACGTTGAGTTGGGTTAGAGACTATAATTGCCAGTATTTGTTGACAGCGCTTTTGGCACTTTTTGTGCACCGAGTTTCGGAATCGTAAGAAAGGTAAAAAATTGTCGACAAAAAAATGTCCAAGCTGGTTGCTTTTTTTAAAAATTGTTTAAATTGGCTTAGTCTTTTATGGCAGCTATCTTTAAAATGGTGATTGCAACGTGGATCATAAAGCCAGTAATTAAAAAGTGAATAAATGAATTTTAGTTAATTACCGGGCCAACAGACTTACGGTTATCTGCAGGACTCACAAGAAACACGGCAAAGGCTGCATTCATGTAGCAGTGAGCCTCCTACTTTAAAAGGAACATGAAAAATACCATCTTCTATATACAGATGGTGTTGTAGTATGTGATGTGAATTTCAACTAAGTTTTCAAAAGGTAGGGCTTACAATGAAAGACATGTTGTATTTAACCAAAATGTGCTGCAGTAATATCTTTTTTTCCCCCAGATCTTGCATTTCGCACTTCTTGGAGGCTCAACGGTAGTAGACGTGACCCGCCAGGTGATGAGGCGGTGCATGCTTGACAGCCTCGCACAGAACTATTGTGTGACCGGCAGGAAGGGGAAGAAGCCCATGAGAGACCTTGGACTCCTTGGTGTCGTGATAGGTAGGGGAAACTAACCATACTCCAGGAAATCCTTTTTGTAAGCGGAAATAACTGGGGTTTTTCTGACACAATTTTTTCTAACATCTTTGCTATTTAGAGTTTTTTTTTTAGAAGGAGCAGAATTTTAAGGATTATTTTTATAACTGTTAAATATACCATGTTCATATATGTTCGGTAAAATCAAACTTATTTGTGGTGTTCATAATTCCAGCCTTATTCTTACTTTATGTAGTGACTGCCATGCTGTGGTGATTTGTTGCACTTTCAACCAGGCTCCAACCTCGTGTGTTTCCGGTAGCTCTCCACAGTTGCAAAGAATTAAAGTTAGTAAGAGGTTGAATGTCCAATATAAGCTCCACTTCCAGCAGGTACTAGCCACTCATCTTCCACATGAGCATTTGTGCTATCAAAGCTAAAAGAGTGCAGAGGTTCCTCTGCACTCTTAACCCCTCACCTATTGTAGTGAGAGTCTTGGTGTAACTTAAGAAGCATAATACTAAACCTTTTAGCACTGCAGCAGCTAGAGGAACACAGAAAGTTGCTTAAAAACTCAAGAATTGCTTGAAGTTCTTCAGTATGATAGACCTCATGTAAGGGTGCAAGTGAGCTGGTGAATGTTAAACATGTTAAAAAGAACCCAAGATTGAAGCTTCTAAAGGGATGACACTAACACATATTGGTCTCATACCTACAGGTGTTTGTGTCGTGCCTTCAGAATGATGGTCTCGAGTCATTTTTGTTTGTGTTCATGTTCATGGTAAACCTTTTTTTTTGTTTGCTTGCTGTTAGTGCACTCTAACCCTAACACGTTTTATGCACCTGTCCTCCGCTCTATATGTGGAATGGTTTGGGCAGCGTTCGGATCAACCATTCCTCAAGAAAAGGTGGTGCATTTCTTTTTACCCCACAGAGCACTCTTTACAGTAAGGTACACCCGTGAGCAATATGAAGGTGAACGGCCCTGTTCTTGCTTTTGATGCTCCTGCAAGTTTTGGTACAAGCTCTGTTCCAGAAGAGGGCTAGAACGCAAAGTTTAGACCACCAAGCCACGCACCATTTGAGACGTTGAGAGTTAATATAGCTTTAGGGAGCCGTAAATACAGGCAAGAAACCAGGTAAGGTGTCCACCTTCATATTGCCGGCGGGTGTACATTACCATATAGCTGAATGACACATTCAGCTATACACGTTTGCAAGCAGTCATGTTTCAAAAAGTAGCCTGGCCACCATGGGTGGGGAAATGCACTGTCAGGATTCCAATCTGTCAATCACGCCTTAGCTAGCTTTCATAATCGGCTTATCTGAGGTGCACCCCAGCTGCAAGATGGCAGTGCCCAAGGGCCCGCCATTTTGCAGACTCCGTTTCATTTGTGTTAGTGAGAAAAAAACGAAGGCCTCTTCAGTATCATCGGAAAATCCATGCCCAATATTATCTCTATTTAAATCTTTATGAAACAGATCAGCAGACTGCTAAGCCTAGCTGACAATGGAGGCGCAAACAACGCTACTACGGCGCCGGCGCACTAAGCACTAAGCTACTATGTCAGGTGCATTGTTATGTTTTCTTTGTTTTCTTCCATGCGAAGTCAGTCCTTGACTTGAGCGATGTCTTCTTCCAATGTTGGTTCAGCATTGTACACCTGATTGGCACAGACATGTATGTGCACGTTTCTCATGGTTCACCCCTGTTATAATAATGGCATTGTTTGCACAATTTTCACACACTCAATGGCTTATTTATGTACTATTTAGAAGACCTCACTGCATACTAATGCTCCTGAGATATTCCTTTGAGAAAACTTGGCTTTAGCATAGGTTGCAGTGATGTAGATGTCGTCCGACACGGAGCAGACAACACTCACGCCCGTCTGTCTGCGTCGTCCTCGCAGGGGTAGCACACAATCATCTGTATCATGGGATTGGTCATGTCTCTGCCATCGTTGCCTGTCAAAGCCAATGTTTTGGGGTTTTTTTGGGGCTATGTTTAAAGCAAAATTGCGGAGGAAATATTCTGCAATTAATGAAACTAAATAGGTGGGGCCGTTAATGATTTATTTTTATTTGAAATCCATCATAATTCCAAAACTTCGGAATTAAGCAGTGTTGCCTTTCAACAGCAAATGACTATTGCTATACAAGGCCATTAAGTGAGGAGCTTTTTTTTTTTTTTCTAAAAAGGCCAAATCCATGTGAAGCTAAACAGATAAATTGGAATGTTTGCTTATCAGTATAGCTTTGAGCCATCTACCGCAGCCACCTCTGTTGTGGTTTTTATAGCGTACTTTGACCGATTCCAGTGTAGTAGCATTTGAGATCAATGCACCAACGAATAGAGTTCTGATTTACAAAATACATTGGCTTGGTTTCAGAGTCTGGATTTGTCTCTATTAGAGGAAAGGGAACTGTGTGTCTTGGTGAAGCATGTGACAGCAGCCCACATAAGCTCACTCCAGTGGAGTTTTGTCCCATGCCTCGCTACCAAACTATCTCGCTCATTGGGAAACCTGGAATTGTTTGGGGATTTTTGAATCATCTGGAAAAGTCAGGGAATTGGGAATTGTCAGGGAGATTATCAAAAAGTTGGCCAAATCAGGGAAAATGGCCAGTGCAAGTAATGCGGTGGTGTGCGACGAAGCCAGAGAGTCACGCATTAATGTGGCTGCGCTAAATAACATTGCCCGAAACTTTGTAAGTCTTTGACTTCTTGAGCAACGTAAAGACCTATTTCAATAAGTAGTTTTAAATTGTGTGCGGTGTTCATTCATGATGTGTTTAGTAGCAGTTACCACATTTCAAGGCTTCTGTAACGGTCAGGGAATTTGATAGAAATAGTCGGGGAATTTGATAGAGGTAGTGGGGGAAAAGCTGGAAAAGTCGGGGAATTTAAAAGGAGGAATTTGCTAGACATTCTGACTGATTTCATAGTTACTGATGTCTGCCAAGTTATGCTGAAGTAGGGCATGAAATTGTCCATATTTCACTTCGGTAGCTGACGTGTTGTAATTCTATGCTTTTAAAACAGGAGCTGTGCGCACCTGCTTTAAGCAGAAGGCACAGAACGGTGAGCCAGCCATCACCGTTCAGGAAGCCGACGTCAAACGGGCTGTTGCAGAATGGGTGAGGCACGCACCTGCGAGGACCAAGAAAATGGTAATATGATATTTCTGATTTTGCTTACAAGTCCCCAGAAATAGTTTTGCGTCCTAAAACAAGTTTGTATTTCAAAACAAAGGCATTAGTCTACTTGACGTAAAGACATGTTAAGTATTAAGAAATTTATTTAGGAAATGAAAGGACAGCATGTTATGACATGGTCTGCAGTGAGCTTGACATTGTAGAAAATATGAGGCTCATTGACATTGCCCTACATTGTAAATGAAGAGAGAGAAAATCTTTTTCAGAACAATTGATATGACCAGCTGATAAGACTGCTGATCAGCTGCAATTGCCAGGTGTCTGGCATTCATGGTGCATTTCCAGTCATAGTCATATGAACACCCTGAAAGGGCTGTCTAAAGGTGCCCAGTGGACCAGTTGCTACACTAGTTTGTGGTGATTATAAAGAAACGAATGCTGGACAGGGCCCCAATTACTGTCTAAGAATGTTTTTAGCGTGTTATTATTAGGTCCACGTTAGGCTGCAGCTAGCTAAAGAGTTTGTTTTGCTAGCAGGCAGCTTTTTATGCCTCAGTGTAAAGAAGCTGAAGGAGGCCTAGAAGAAGAGGGAGAATCAGACACATAGCATGGCTTTCTGTGGGGCCGCCATTCAGATTGATGGCCGACCGTATGAGTGTGTTGCCAGTGCTCAGCCATCAAAACATGCTTCAGCAGGCGCATCACTCCTTGTGGGAAGGTCCTACTTTGCAGTGCAGAAAAGGTCTAAACTGGATGAAAAGAATGGCTTGTGCATGCAAACAAACTCAGGCAAAACTGCACTAGGACAGAAGTAGGCTTTTTTTGTTTATCTTGATGAGACATTGCACTGAAATAGGCACCCATTTTCTGAATGCAACCAACTTTTTTGTGTTATATTTTTGCAGGAACAGCGTGCCTCTTCCCAGGAGTGACTGGGGGGCTGCCACAAGGGGAGAAGGCAAGCATGTTTCTGATTACAAGAATGCACAGTTGGGCTAGGCTAGTTGGTAAGAATTCATGTAAAAACCGGTGCGGAATACATGGACAAAGAGAAAACACACAACACCTTGTCCTGTGTGTTCTCTTGTCCGTAGATTTCGCGCTGTTTTTTGGCATGTTTCTGCCTTGATTTTTCTGTTATAGTTTTAAATGTCAGTAGTTGGTTACTTTGATCCCTGTTGGGGACATGGAATTGGTTAATCGTGTTAAATGCAAAGAATTGAAAAAAAAATTATGTTATATATATTTAAAAGCTTTTTTGTCTAATGATTTCTTTCTCTTTTTTTTTTTACAGCCATCCCATGAGTACAGAGTGCCTGTTGTTCAAATTTTTTTATTGCAATTTGTAATATGCATATGTCACCTTTCATTTCTATTCATGCATACATTTTAGCCCCAGCTAGTGTTTTTTTTAAATTTAATTTATGTACACATTTGTATGGTATTTTTAGAGCTTTTAAAATTTTTGTTTTTTTTCTAGTCATTTTATGTTGCTTGGAGTTTTGATATTTGCAGTTTTATTTTCATGCAGATCAGCCTCGTAGTTTAGTGTGTTCTTTATGATTTTTGTAGATATAATAGCTTGTAAGAAACAAGATTACTTTGGTACTTGTAATGTTTGTTTTGTTTTTGAAATAAATTTATTCCAATAACTTGTTTTCTTCCGTTGTCCTGCTTCTAGGACTTCAAATTTTTGATTCATTAATGGCATGCAATACCCATCCGTTTACTCATATCAGGCACCAGCTCAAAAAAGGATTTCATGACAACCATATATGCAGTTTCCTGGCAATGCTTGTCAATGTTAGACAGCAATTTTCTGGTAACATTGTTCAGAAACATCCGAGTAACACATGCAGTAATATCTGGCCAGTGCCAGTGTGTTGTTAAAATGTTTACTGAAAGTTGACAGAACAAAAGCACTGAGGACAAACACAAACCACCGCTCTTTCATTTAGTTACGACGCTTTTTTTTTTTTGGAAGCAAGAATCACGCACAGGTCAAGATTAACTGCATACGGAAGGCTTGATGGAGGGGACTTCAGGGAGATAAGAGTTCAGTCAGTGACACTCCATGTGTTTTAGTCAAGATTGCCAGATTTTTGCAGTTCTGGCCCTTATCTCCCTATCCTCCGCTTCCCTCCCGCCTTTGGTTTATCTTGACCTGTGTGTGACTCCTTGCTTTTGAAAAAATAAACATTGTAGCGAAATGAAAAGTGGTCGTTTGTATATGTTCTTCATGTTTTTATTTATTTCTTCACTTTTAAGTAAGCCGTAATTTCAGTGCAGCATTTTGGTGTAACATTACTGGAAGGTAGAATTCGTGGCCATTAGCAACAATCAGCAACGTTATCTGACCAGGGGCGGATCCAGAACTCCATTTTGGGGGGGGGGGGGGGCGGCAAAATGTGTAAGGATACTAGTATTCTCCCATTCTTTTTTGTTCACCGGGGAGTCCACCACCCATGTCAAATTGCCCTCCAAGAAGGGGGGAGAGGGGTGGGGGGCGGCCGCCCCCGTCGCCCCCCCTTGGATCCGCCCCCGTATTTGACAACGTCCGAGTAACATCACTGATCTAATGTCCAGGTAACATATGGAGCTACGTTACTGCAACATTTTGATGCGACGTCACTGGGAGGTAGAACTAATAGCCATTAGCAACGTTTGGCAACGTTATCTAACAACGTTCCAGTGACGTTATTTGGGTAATGTCCAGGTAACGTATGCAGTTACGTTACTGTAACATTGTGGTGTAACGTTACTGGAGTGTAGAATCCGCGGTCGTTAGCAGCGTTCGGCAACGTTACCTGACAACATTCCAGTAACGTTGTAGCCACATTTTGTGCTACTTGGGTGGCTGCCTCCTCGTGTGATAGGCGCCACCAGTAACTCATCAGCACAAGTCCGCCTCAACGACGGTACAGTGTGGCATCGTCATGGTGACCACCTGCGGCCCAGACAGACGGAGACAACTGCAGCAGTCACCGAGCCACTTCGGCCCGAGACTGCCGCAGAGCAGCAAGAACTACAAACAGAAGACACCATCCAAACTGTTGATCCAGTTACGGTTCCACATGATTCCGTTGCTATGGTACCAGTTGGCACAGCTGCCGATGTTGACAAACCCATGGACAACCGTAGCACTGTCCTCGCCACAACCAGCAGCGCACCGCATCTGCGACGTAGCGCATGGGCTAGAAGACCCGTGCAGCGCTACTCTCCTTAGGTCTTTTTACGCGTGCAATGTTCTAAGGGGGGAGAGTTGTTACAATCTCTATCTGGCTGCTAGCGCTACCAGATTTCATAGCGGTAGTTGTCGGTTACCTCGATTGCCATCACGAGACATTAAAACACTTTTTCTTCAGTTCCTGAAGCGAAAGGAACGACGGCGTCATGTTTCTGCTTAGCCGGCCACGTCCTGCCGGCCGTGCGGTCTATCCCCACTTGTAACAGAGAAGGGACACGGGACGACGAGGAAGTGGGCAACGGGGTCACGCGCGGGACATGCGCCATGTTCTCATTCTGATAAACCGTTACCATCATGTTGATCGGGTCGTAGTTTCTTCAGATCCCTAACAGTGGTTATTTCCCCGAATGATATGGATGACCGTATTCCAGGACGTCGACGTACTCTGACAGGCAGAGTACAGAGTACAGAAATGGGGTGAAAATAATTCATAGGAAGATCCATTGATGGATTTTTGGGGAATCCGTTAGCATGTCCTTTGGGAAACGCCACACACGCCTCTTTTTGGGAAACGCTAACGTTGACCCGGTAACGAGGTAAAAAAGAGGGAGCGAAATAGAGGAACCTAAACAGATAGCCAAAAGAAAAAAAGTAAAGGTGACATTGTTAGTGTTTCCCAAAAGGTGGACGTGTGTAACGTTTCCAAGGGTCATGCTAACGCATTCCCTTAGAATGCATCAATGGACCTTTTTTTTTAGTAGTAGCTTTGTTTTCCAACGGCAGCAATAAAGCAACAGCCTCGTCACGTGATCAAGCTCGCTCCCATACCCATTCATAGAGAGCGGTGTTGGGTGATGAAAGGGAGGCGGCTGATTGGTCCGGTCACGCGTAGCTCCCACAGCACCATCAGTTGTGCGGTGAACGGAGTACAGCAGAAAACGAAAGGGGAAAAACGAGAGGCGTCGAGTGAAAGGCCGCAGCCGCACTCAGGCTGTAACTCAGGCTATAACTGCTGTTTTAGATGATAGTACATCTAAATTATGACCTCATTACACAAAAACATCCTCCAGAAAACGTGGATACCGTCACTACTTTGTGACGCAAACCCGGCCGGTAATTTGCAGCGACCGAAAACAAAACAGCTACGAAAAGTCGGCGTTACACACAATCTCGTTGATAGCTACAACGGCTAAGCTCGCGCTACAATATTCAAAGAAGTCCGTTCTTAAAACAAGTGGAAGCGACTGGCTGGCGGAGTAGTATTCATTCTTTTGAGTGGCGCACCGTCACTGTATTCTTGACCTGTCACTGACAAACAGAAATTCGGCTTCGAAGACAGGAACAAACTACCCTTTACACCGGGAACTTCATGGTAGGTACAGACCCCCCCAGACAAAAAAGAAAGAAGAAGAAAAGGAAAAACTTTGCTTAAGTATTTTCCAAACTGTGGGTCGCTATCGAAAACGGGGTTGCGAAACGGATCAGAATATAGAAAAGTGAAATTGGCTTCTTTGCGGTAGCACCGATGAAACAAAGTACGGGTCGCAGCTTAGCATCCAGCCGTGACTGCGATTTGCGGCCTTCAAGCTCTGCCCTTGATTTGGGAAACTGCTCTAACAAACAAACTGACTTTAGTTATTCCTGCTGGCATATAATTTTTCTTTTTCTTTTTTGCGATTGCTTTTAACTTAGCTGGGTCATTCTAACCATATTAAATGACAAAAAAAAAATCGACCAGTCGGAAGGCGACTTGCACGATAAAACGACATCATATTCTAAGGCAGTAAAAACAAGCGATTTGATGTATGAAGCAGTAATTTCTATCAAAATATTTTTTGATTCGTACAATGTTCGTATTAACACTTCAAGTCTTACCTCCACTTATAACGAACATGAGAAACAAAATTTAAAAAAATATAGGCAGCTGTCGCCGAACAACTGCCATGTTTCCTAAGATGGTGACACCAGTTCTGATAAGCGCTTTCAGAGCCTGCAGCCATGCCCTGGCAGATGAATCGCAACAATGAAAAGACAATGTACTGTAATGAGTAAACAACTTTGGGGAGGACCACACCTTAAGACCAGCCAAATTGCGAGAGCAGACGATATACAATACAAAAACCGTTCCTACCGAGGGAAAGTGATTTGGAAAGGAATATTTAGCGTCTTTATTGACCGGTTCCACATAACACCTCAAACTTAATTTGATTCTGTCAAATACCTTCTGCGGGAAGAGGAATTAAGAGAAACTAGCGCTGGTGCGATTGAACTTCGTCAGTTCCAATAATTATTTCCTACTTCTTGAGTCTCAATTTTACTTCAGAATTTCGTTTATTAACTAACCTCGGATAAAGGTTTTTTTAATGAACTTGTAGCTTTGTAGAGGTCCCATATTTCGGAGAGCGATCAACTCAAACCGCGGAAAGCACTTGCACTTGAATAATTTTCAACGTTCTTGGACATGAACGCTTCGGCGCAGGCACTAAAACGAGAATTTCAACTAAACAGGAGCAAACATCGCACCCTTCCCCGAGAATATCTTAGATGACATTAATAAATCGTCCATAAGCAGTAATTAAACTTTTAGTCACGTATAGTTTTTATTCAACGGCTCCACCGATATTCAGCTTTGAATCCTATGGAGCCCGTTCACAAGATTGTTGAGTTCTGCTTTTCTTGCTTAAAGATCGCAATGTTCGAGAAAGTTGGCCATGGGCAGACATGGTCGCACGCAGATTGGTGGAACTTCCGCAGGCGAGGTCATCTGTGGGATAGACGTAAAACACTTTCAGTTTCCACTTTTTTCTTTACGCGTAATTTTCGTTAGGCTTCGAGAAACCTTTGGACGATGTTATAAACGACCGTTTCTCGTAGGCAATACGTACATTTAATCCGGGAAAGACCGCAAGACCTTCGCGTTGGTGAAATGCAGTTCCAGGGTCATGGAACCAGCGTGCTTGCTATGTTCTCTAGTTGTAAGAAATCACGAGAGCTCGTTCCGATGGGCAAACGCAAGTACGTGAACTGACCCTTACACCACGACATTTCGACACCGATAACCTTTGCACATTGGAAAGGCTGGATGCGCTCAGCCCCGGGGTTTTTCCCTTCGAATTGGGAGGGGTTGGAGAGTCAGGTAGACGGGCGTCGCTGCAAGACCTGTATACGTAAAGCGGCACAAGTAACGCGTTACTTTTACCTAGCTACTCTTTTAGGTAAGAAAGGTACAACCTAGAAACCTGTTTTTTTTTTTTTTTTAAAGGAAATATTAACGCATTTTTGGAACTTTTTGTGAAGTATCGATTAGCGGTGTTACTTCTAGAGGGAGCTTGCACAACACAAGTAACCAACCCAGTTCTCGGCCCAACCCGCGCCAGCAAATTGTACGACTAGAAAACGCTACATTGAACATGGAAAATATGTGTACAAAGCTAGTCTGTATAGCCGGTTTTGCCTGAATGAACGCGATGAAAGACGAGGCATTATTGACCCCGACAAATGCAGGTAAGGGCTACTCTTTAATAAAAACAGCACATCCTGAGCGACGAGAAACTAACGCGACGTTCAAGCAAATGTAACGCGTCTCTTTGGAATCACAGTAAAAAGAAACGTATGAGGTTAATTTTTTGAGCGAGTAACGAGTAACGTGATTTAGTTAAGCTATTTGAGTAACGTGGCGCTGTCTTGGCGAATCCGTCGACAGCGCGAAAGCGCGATGAGCATACGTTATCCTGAACGCGGGGTGTCCCCACCCCTAGAGGAGGATTTGGCGCTGTATAATGCAAATGTGCGGAGCGGAATGGTATTCTCATAGCAAAGTATTAGTTTGTGTTTTTTTTCCGCACCGCCAAAACACGGCCCCTAGACCACGTGACTTAGATGAAGCAGTTTGAACTAGGAACCACACTCACACCTATAGGCACACTAGGGCTTTTCGGAACTCGTGGCGCCATCTCTCAATAAAGCTGGCAAACATGGCGGTCGTTCGATATCCTGTCCTGCCTACAGCTGGCGCTCTTCCACTGAAAATCATAATTTGACCCTGAAATGGCGATTGACCCCACCGTAGAGTCCACTGGGTCCACTGAGTGTCAGGCGTGAGGAGACATGGGATACGGGGATGGAGACAATAGGGAGTTGTAGTAGGTCGCTTTCCTCCTCCGCTACGGTATCCGGAACGGTCTACTACAATTCCCTATTGGAGCACTTGACGCTCACCTGCGAGTGCCTGTGTAGACAGCGTCAACACGAAAGAAACACGCGGAGCCAGCCGGTTCCAAAACGACCGACGCAGAGAGTTGGTCGTGTTGGGGACTTTCTGCAAGCACAGCGGTGTGGCAGAGGGTTGCAACTGGCGAGTACAGTGTGTTGAGTGGACGGAGGCGAGGCTGGAACACTGCTTGCAGGAGATGAAAAGCTGTGCAAGAGAGTAGTTTTATTTTTGGCTTTTCATATTTTATGTTGCCTTGGGCACGGAATTTTCTCAAGCTCGGCGGCTGCTAAGGGAAAAGTCACACCATCTTTATTATCCTCGTCGACGAGTATTCTAATTAATACAAATGTATATACATGCTTTTCTACATAACATTTGAATACTCGAGGGTACTCGCATCTTTAAAATACCCGCTCACTTTCTTGACCTCACGGCTGGCATTGTGTTCAAAATTAAGAAATAGCGCAGATATTAAGAAAGAATTTTGTCATATGGTGCTTACTACCTTTGGGGTGGCGAAATGTTCTTCCATATATATAACCACGCCTCGTTCCAAAGTAACGACCTCATACGCATTCAAGCAAATGGTAGCAAAGGGTTACTACGGCGTAAAGCAGCATGGCGGCCGATAAGCGAAAGGCGAGCGTATACAAATAAGGCCTAGCGAAATGCAGGGCTTTCCGGCATATTGCGTGAATCAGGCGCATTTGCTTATTCGACGTCTTTCGCGCTCCTTCAAACACTCCAAAAACCGCAAAGGGCATGCTGAAATATTGAACACAGACATTAACAATGAGGGAATGATGGTAGAGTCTTAACTCTAACAAAAAAGGGGTGTGTTCTTACGCCCGTTGTCACGTATAATGCACCCCAAAACTTCACTTCAACGTATGTAGAACAATTCTGTTCCACGAGCACTTCAAAGGCGTTCAGAGCCAGGGCCTTTGAAGCATCTGCGAACCAGCGCACACAGAGTGGCACGCTCAGAGTCGGCGTGGCGAGCTAATTTGCCGCCTACCCCCGGAGTTCTTAATATAAATGCCATTTGAAATATCCACGAAGTGGGTCATAATATTTTCTGAATTCATAAACAAGCAAGGAACGTAATTTAGGCGTCTGAAACACTTACGCCCCAGGTTCACCGAACCTTCGCACGATCGGCTCCAGTCGTGTAAACGGACGGAGAGGTTCATCGGCGGAATTATCCCAGCCGATAGCTTTCGATACTTTTAATTTTATTATAAGAGTAAAAGTGACAAACACGCTTAGAAAAGGTACGGAAGAACGTCGGTATCGGTCTTACCCTGCGGCTTGTACCGCGTGTAAACGATGTCCTGCTCCTCGAAGTGCTTGCTGCAAAGATTGGCCGACGTTAACGCTGCCTTTCCCATCCTTAGTTTGACTGTCCATGCTATATTTAACCTCGATAGCTTCGGGTGGTGAAAGCTGATACCGGCATCTTTTGGGGATTTGCATTGCGCCACTGATCAGCATGGTCGCAAACCAGGAAACGGGGGCAGGTAAGCGAGCCGTATGCGGAGATCGCAGATCGGAGTCCTTCCCCTGACGTCACGGTACATATCACCCAATCAGGGCTCGGCGACCGCATCGATCCTTGTGTTCGTTCTCGGGGCTAATACAGATAATCTAGGGATGACTTTCAGCAAGATTTCAAAGATGCTTTATGTATTTTAAGGCGTTAGCATTAGAACGCTCGTTTTCACGGGAACCCGCCTTTGTCATTCCTTGCGTCAGTTTGTCAGCGCCATGCATGACGTCGCGAGGTGAGGTGTGGTGAGGAGGTATCTTATTTACAGATTCAATGTCTTACCACGGCGGCGGGGAGAGAGGGAGAGGATGACGCGTGCTGACGTCAGCGCTTCGGATTAATACGAGCATCGCACAGCTGGCGCGGAGCCAGAGACGAGCTGGCGCCGGGCTGTTTGGAATGCGGCCCAGCCCTGTTGCCGCTCCGACGATGGATATGCTTCTTTCCACCAGCGATAAAGAAGGCGAAAAAATATTGAAAACTGGGCATAAACGACTCGAGATGGGTCATAAACAAATGCAAAGTAGTAAGAAACGACAGGAAAGCGGTGATAAACGAATGGCAAAAAGTCCTAAAGGAATGGAAAGAGGTGAAACAGGGGTGAGATGGAACCATTGCTAACACATATCCATCAGATAACTCCCATTGATCGTCGAATAAGTTTTTAAGCCTGCTTGACCTGAAAGTTTTAAAACAGTGGACGTCACGGATCCTGGAAGCGCGGGGAATTTTGAATGCTGGTTTTGTCATCCCCTCGAGCTGCCGTTTTCTCAATAGCTAATATTCTGAACTAAGAGATAATATATGGCATGCCGTCAAGAGTAAGTCACGGGTATTTCGAAAATTTAGTTTGTCCAGGTAGCTCGAAAATCTACAGGAACTTCCTTTCGAAGTACTGACGAATAACATTGGAGTAAAAAGAAGAAGGGACGGACGAACACAAAACATATTGTTGTATTTGAAGTTTTTGTTTGTTGGTTCATTCACTTCTTTGCTCCAAGGTTGCTATGTCAGCCTGAGATATGGTCGCCTTCACTCTTTCTTTAGTTTTTTAATGATTTCCTTCTAAAGGCCGTTTAAGTGCCCATAATACGGGGGTACTAAAACAATAAAAACGATTACGTGAAAATGTGAATATGATCCTTTTTCGCTTTTTGTTTGTTATATTTATCTCCTCTACTACTGCGTATCTCAGTAACTGGTGAATGTAAGCAGTGTTGTACACGTTCCTAAAAAAATGGAACGAAAGCTCGTTCCTCGTTCCTTCTAATGCTTGGAACGCGTTCCCATTACAAGTTCCATATGTGAAAAAGGAACTCGTTCCCGTTACAGTTAAAGAAATGGAACGTATCGTTACATGTACGTTACATTTGTATTTTGACAATAACCATATACAATTATTTTAAGCAAAGTGTTTTTTGTTGTTTTTTATCTATCCCATCAAATGGCAACATACATATTTGAATGCAGTAATGGAAAGGCACCAAGGGAAGAAGACAAGTAGAAGCAGTGTTTCATTTGTTGATATATTCACCTTTAAAAATCTCAACTTTTAACCATATTTTCTGGTGGGCGATTCAGACGAGCCAAATATACTGTTACCCCACATTGCACGAGCGTTTCACAACAACCTCACGCGTTTCAATATAACAAAGTCACTTGTTCGAACATAACAACACTTGCTTCTCGATATTGCTGTCCGTAAGACGAGCAGGTGAAGAAGGTAGGGCTGTTGGATGGCCAGTCTTGAAAAATACAAGTCCTTCTTCGTGAAGGTTAGGCTCGTAGTTCAGTTTCAAGATAGAAAACAAGGGGAGAAGAAATAAAAACTAATTTTTGTCTATATTTTATGCCACCAATATTCGGGATACAAGGGTGCGTTCTATACCGGGTAACCTGCTTTTCTGTTGTAACTGTAGCTCTCTTTGTGGAAGTTCAGTGATGGCTGCAGTCGGTCTTAGATTTCTGGGTGTATGAGGATTCGTGGAAGGAAAGAAAGTAGCTGAGTCCGAAACGTCTTTCTTTCTGTGTCGTTTTCTTTGAGTAAAAGTTTGGCTTTTTGTACCGCAGTCTCGGGCACTGAAAAAAGGTTCGATGTCCACTAGCTCTCCCGCACCCGACTGTCACCAAACGAGTATCACACAAAATTAACCATATGGTATGTAACCAAAAAGTTAACGAAATCTTTCTCTTCGTATAGATGGATATTGTTTTTACACTTCTAGAATTTCCCTTTCAGAAAAAAACTACCAATTAGTCCACTGGACGAAAAAAGGAACGCCGTTCCTTTTTCCGTTCCCACTGGACGAAAAAAGGAAAGCCGCTCCTTTTTCCGTTTCAGTAAAAATGTAACGCGTTCCCGTTCCAGTTCCACCAATGCCAAATGGAACGGCGGCGTTTCTTTGTTCCTCCTAAAAGGAACGCGTTTCAGGAACGCCGTTCCGTACAACACTGAATGCAAGCAACCAATGCTAACTCTTGAGTTAAACAAAGGTCCCAGCTAATATCGCAGGTTTTATCAATTCGGAATTGCATTTGTCTAGAACAATAAGGGACGGTCTTTCCAGGTTATTGGGGCTTCTTTTATTTTGTTTTGTTTTGTTTTGCAGCACGCCATTTAAGACTGCACTACAGGTAAACCAGGAGTTTTTGCGGCGACCTTTAAAAGAAGATATGCTTATTCGACATATTTTAGGTTGCGCAATTCTTATCAACAAAACCCTTGCTACGGAATTGGGGACAACTCAAGTACATTGGGATTCGGCATCTGTTAGACAGCGAGTGGCAAGCGATGACGTCACAAAGTGGGGTGTCATCGCGTCTGCTGGTCAAGACTACCACGATTACCATCTTCAAGCAGACGTGTGCCACGCCTATCACATCCTGTACCACTATGGCGTCCCAGATGACAACGTCGTAGTTATGATGTACGACGACATCGCTTACAACCCTCGGAACCCAACCCCCGGGATCGTCGTGAACTATCTTAACGGTCGAGACCACTACGCGGGCACAATCAAGGACTACATTGGAGCGAGCGTCACAGCCAGTAACTTCCTCGGTGTGCTACAAGGACGACGGGAACTCATCGAGGGTGGCAGCGGCAAGGTATGTGGGAGCGGGCCGAAAGACCACACTTTCGTTTACTTGGACAGTCTTGAGACCCGACGTCTTGTGAGTTTCTCCGACGACGCTTTGCACGCCAAGGATCTCACTGAGGCCATCAAGAAATTGCTCGAGGAGAGGAAATACGCCAAGATGGTCTTCTACCTCTACGCGTCTTTCTCAGCCTCCATGTTTGGCGGACGTCTGCTCTATAACATCAGCGTGTTTTCAACGACAGCTGCCGATCCTTACGAGGAAGCCTGTACCAGTGAATAGGACTACGTCAGCGGTATCTTCGTCAGCGACTACTACAGCGTGTCCTGGATGAGGAACACAGAAGCGGAGCTCTACCGCAGGAGGACGCTGCAGCAGCAGTTTGATGACACCCGTTTCAATACGACCTTCAGTACCGCGTCTGTCTACGGGAATATGCGCATGAGGAACACGAGGGTTAGCGAGTTTCAAAACGCTCATATCATACCGCCGCCTCCGGAACGCTTTCAAAGATCGCCGAGGAACAGCGCCACCAAATGCATGACTCCGATGAACATCCTGTGGGAAAACGTGCGGAACACGACGGAGCTGGGCAAAATAGCGATCATTAAAAAGTCAATGCACACGAAGGAGAAAATGAGTGCCTTTGCGAAGGACAAGCTGACTCAGATCATTGCTCATGGAACGGACTGTGTTTCCAGGGCGGCGATCGGTTCCTCAACACTAAGAGAGGGCTTACCAAGCACGCGTGCTTTAAAGCAGTGAGACACTTCGACTCGCGCTGCTTCGAAGTGCCGCGGAATTCATATGCCGTGAAGTACCTCGGATTGTTTATCAACCTATGCGAGGAGCGTGTTTCCACTCAAGACTTGCGGAGGGCGATGAATCAGGCGTGCACTCATCCAAGGATCGTCGGAATTTCTTAGACCGACATTAAAGGGCTACTGAACCGAAATTTCGAGCTCACTAAACAAGGCCGGGTGGATAGGCGGGAAGCTGCCAAACCAAAAAATATCACTCATAGGGCGATATATCTAACGGATCGCCGTATTTTTTGGCAAAGAAGTGCGCGATTGAACCCGGCCGACGAGGCCGACGAGACAAGGCACGTCACGATTCCCATTCTCTCTCCTCCTCGCTACGTCCCGTCAAGCTGGTGAACTGAAGCGAGGAGGAGGGAAGCGAGGCCGCTTCTCCTTATTCTCAAATTCTCCCGAAGGACAGTTACGTCAAAGAACTCGCTTGATCGCGCCCTTTTTTTCCAAAAGTACGGCCATCCGTTTGAGATATCGATGCACGAGTGATGTTTTGGAGCTCGTAGCGTTCCGTTCAACACTTCTACAGCCTTGCTTTGTGAACTCCAAATTTCGGTTCAGTATCCCTTAAAGCCGGAGACGCACTGGTGAAACATTTTGGAGAGCTTAACATATCTGTTAAGCGGTTTCTGACTCATATGTATAATAATAAAAAAGAACAAATTGATCAGTGAGGATCCGTGTGTTGAACAAATACAGTTTTCAACTATTTTCCCTGGCATAATTTTAGTGGCGCGACAAACATAATATTTATGCTTCCGTCGACTGAACCAAATCAACATTTTTGCGATCCGAGGAATATATCAAAGTACAACTCGTCCTCAAAGTTGGAAACATTTAGACCTTAGGTGGTGACACCCAAGCGGGAAGCATGTTGCTAACAACCTCTAGTTGATATGTACGCGAGCTACAATTTTTCGGCCTCATTCAACGACGGACTACAGCCAAAGCTTCGGGCCGTAATGTACAACTACAGCCATTTAGAATACGCGCGATGCATTGTCACGATGCGCGTATCAGCGCGCCCCTTACGGCGCACATCCGAGCAATAACCCACGTGGTTTCTAACTAGCTCGTGATTGGCCCCGGGTGCCCATAGCTGTGGCGGAGGTTCATCGCAGGGTGAGGCGGAGTTTAGTGCGACGTAGCCAGTCGTCAATGCGAGAGTGGAGAGAGTGTAAGCAAACAGAACACAGCAGCTGGAAACCCAGTGGACCGATGTCACGCCACGAGAAAGAGTCCATAGCCAACACCACCTAGAATAAGTAAGTCATGGGAACGACTTATTCCTTCATGGGACGGGATCACAGGTGAATGAAGCCAACTCAGCAATAAACCGATCTCACCAGCCAGTTTCCTCGCGCCACCGCTGCCGGCACGCCCCCAACCAAAGCATCTGCCGCAGTCAAATGTCCTTTCTTATCAACAAATTCCCCATGATCATAGTTCTATACACTCTGAAAGCAGTAAACCTCTTAGTAGACTGTCACATTTTCTACTTGATAAGCTACTTGAAGACGATGTTGGAGAAAAATTTAGTGCAAAGAAAATGTCGTCTGGAGACCTCCTTGAATAGATTAATACCAAACAGCAGAGTTTTGTCTTTTTGGCACTTATTGAAATGTAGGACTATAAATGCAGTGTCAGCCTTCACCGAAAGCTAAGCACAATTCAAGAAGTTATTTCCGAGAATGACTTGCTAGATTTCTTCCCAGCTAGGGTGTGGCTGTGGCACGGCGCATCACCAATTGCCATGAACACGAAAGGTGACTAAGCATGTTGTTCTCACTTTTGATTGCACTGCTCTTCCTGTGACTGTAAAGGCAGGCTACATCCAACGCCGCGTTCAACCCTGTTTGCCGAAATCTAAGTGGTGCTTTGAGTATCACCAGTTCGGCCATGGGTCACGGAGTTGTCGGGGGGCCGCCACTTGTGCTAAGTGCTCCAGTTAGGATCATGTATCAAGTGTTTGCGAGAATGAACCGAATATGCGATGGTTGTCACCCTGCCTACATTCGAGTCTGTCCACAATGCAAACGAGGAACGTAAGTCCTTACATTGAACGCAAATGAACACATTCCCTACTATGAGGCTAAGAAACGTCTTTCCTTCATATCGAAGGGCGGGTATGCCCAGGTCGTGCGGAGGGAACCTGCACGGTCACTGATGACATAGACGGGAACCCTGACGTTTTCGGACATTCTGCGCTTCTCGTCGAAGTCTATTCTTAAATACAAGGGATCGGCGCCAGTGGTACCGCGTCTTAACCGCAGAAAAGATGCTGGCACGCCAACATCCACCTAACAGCAGGAGATGGTTACCTTTACCTCTTTGCCCCTCCGGGCTGGGACCAACCACCCCGCACCCCGCACCAAGGTGAGCCGTCGAGGCAGTTGACCCCCAACGGCCAGCTGACGACATTACACGAAGAGCCATGAAGTTGACTCAGATTCCACCAGGAGGGTCTCCACTCTAGATTAGAGTCCTGCCTTTCTGCCCCAACCGTCTCTAGTGAGAGGCAGAAAGAATTGCTAACAAATATAACGCGCGTAAATACTGATGTTAAACTATGGTAACTACTATTTACTATATTGTACAGTTTTAATATTATAGTGTTCCAGTTAACCCTGCTGCGAGTAAACACTTATCCAGTGCAACTGTCGCGGCCTTTTGAATATTGATGGTGTCGATTCGTTTCTCAATGAGCTTCGTCCTTTTACAGGAGACTAATTTGAATAACAAACACTCGCAAGACTTACATCGTCGTCATCAGGTGTTTAAAAAGGACCGCCTTTACCCTAATCCTCCCGGTGATGCTGCAGAGATAGCACAAAATGGGCATATGTGCGCACAAGCTCCCCTGCAAACGCCGCTTGAGGCAGTAGAAGTTCGCACCCTCTTAGAACACCTGATCATCCTCGTTTGGCTCTACTTCCTATCCAACGTTCCTCTTTAAGATCCATGAACTACAAGAACTCGTAGATCAGCTGCCCAAGACTCTTTTTTTTTAAAAAATCTGGTTGATTGATCATTTACCGCTTTTAATTTTGGGAAATTTCTTACCCTCAACTGCTCAATTGTTGTCTGCAAAATTACATTTGTTGTCATCAAAATCAAATTTCTAAACGCAAACAAAATAGGAAAAGTAAAAAAAAAAGTCAGTGCTGCCATTTGTTGGCAGAACCTCAAACTAAGCCATGAGCGAGCCTGGTTCGTCCAGAACGGTTGAGTGCGTGAACCGCAGAAAACAGACGAGCTATACTCGCCCTGAACGGCCTGGGGGCGGCTCCACGTTGAGGACCTAGGCTCATCTAACACTTTTAAGGAGTTTATGGCGACACCCATTTGTTGGGAAGTTCCTGTCAGATTGCAATTGCATAAGCTGCTGCGGAAATGGCAGCTACGAAATCTTTCATATATGAAAAAGTTTTGCCACAGTGCATATCCTTTTCTTCCGTCAATCATTTGACATTTTGCTGTTTGCAAACATGAACTGCCGCTTGCGTCCCAAGCGGCTTCCGGTTGCACTGTCTTTGCAAGCCTGTTGAGCTCGCTTATGCCACCAGTACTAGAAAGCATAAATGATACACGTTCGACGAAGTAGGAGATTTAACGAGGGCCTCCGGCTGCGCAATATTACATCTTGGAGGAGGCAAGTTAGTTTACAAGAATACTCGAGACATTTTTACAGATCTCGCACTCCTTCGTTCTTTTGGCCTTCACTTGGAGATTCGGTGGTTAAACTTTTCATCTACACTTCAAGCAGCGGTGTTAAGGTGGATTTCGTTTATCCTTCTACAAAACCGGAAGTTCACTGGGACGTCAAGCACTGGAGCACCACCTGGTGGCGTTTGCAATAAAAAGAGTACATTGAGTGGCGAAGTAACGCAGGTGGGGCAATGACACGCTAGTGAGACTTAACAGGCGCTGGCTTTCAATCAGCCTTCAACTAGGGTGCCTTCATGTCCGCTTCGCATAGAGTGATGCCAACTGCTTGTTTCCCTTTTTCCCACCGCCATTTTGTTCCTCATTGTTTCCCCGTGCGTTTCCCGTGCGCCGGAAAGTGGCCTTTGTGTCTATCGGTCCCCCCATCCGAGGGGGGAAATGCTAATCCTCCCTCCGTGGGCTCCACAACGTTGCTCCCAACTTGTGAGATAAGGTGCTTGTTTCCGGGAGGGTTATAAGCCCCACGGATTATTGCCGAGACCAAAATGGCTGCTGGTTTGTCGGCGAGTGGTATTACAATGGTGGCACCACCCTAGCAAAGCGCACATGAAGGCTCCCTACCGTCAACTATGCCTGCCCTTTCTCGTATAAAGGTAAAATCTCTGACATATTAAGAAACGCAGAACGTGCCTCATTATGTTGCCGCTTGTCGCTTCGTGATTTTATCGTCGACTTTCTGACGCCGCAATCCTATTGGCTGCGTAATTGATTGCAAAATGTTCGGGACTTTCCACGTCAGACTTCTTTTGAGCCGTTAGTGACCGTGGTTGAAAGTTAGCGCGTGACATTTTTTACTTGCTTGATCGTGTCCAATTTCCGCCATCTTATCTGTACCAAGAAGGAATGTAAATGTGCCAGTCGATATCTCCTGTTCATGTATACAGAATAAACATCGATGGGGCTAATAGTTAAAAAAAATATAAGTATATTTACACTCGATGATATCACTCCCAAAAGCTGGAAAATTACCAATATATGCTATTTTGAAAGAAAGCTAGGCAGTTCAATATGCATGCATACAGCGCGTACACTAACGCTTTGATCCGAAATAGGACGGTCAGCATAAATCGGGTTCTTAACGTGCCGCGCCAAGATTTAGTACAGTGGTGCCCGAAGTTGGTGAAAGATGTCACTAAAATTGTGGAAATATTGGCTCACCCGATCTGTAAATCACGCAAAATTAAGAACTATGTTTCACATATTATTTGCCTGTACATTTAAATATTATTTTGTTACTGTGCCTCATATTATGGCAAAATGAAGTAAAGAATAGGCAAGCCAAATGTAGTTTCTTTTCATCCCACCTATATCTTTGTCATAATACGCGCCAAAATAGCTCAAGATGGTTTTTTGAAGATTTTGAGAATAAGGTCTCAGCGACAATT